ATTAGCGTATAGACTGAAAGTCGAGTAAAGGAAAATGAACATTCCCAATGTCTATTTTAGTAATTATTTTTTGTAATATTTTTATAACTTCAATGTTAGCTTTTAAGTGGCTTGTCGTAGTAGCGGTTTTATACAAAGATAGTTTGCGAACTTTGCTAATCGCGTTGTATCTTTTTTGCATTGCATGCAAACATCAAAACCGGAAGCGAACATATTTGAACCTTTCAACTCTTTGAGTGATACCTATATGCGTATCTCGTTAACCGGATCCCACTCTATTTCAGCTTGTATCCAGTTAACTAATCAAGAGACTTTTGGCAACCAGTCCTGAAGGATCAGCACATTCAGTAAAATCTCCCGTCTCTGTTCTACACGAGGCAATTCTAGATCGCGTGTTGACTACCTAGTTGATCCTTACATCTTGTAGTAACAAACCAAAGACATTTTTTCACTCAACGCATCTATCTCGGCAAGGTTGTACAAAGTACCATTTCTTATATATGTACTGTCTCTCTTGTGTTCCAAATTTGTCTCTCGATGCAATTTCTTAGATACCCAGCTGTCTCAATTGTCAATCAAATTGGAAAAGATTAGAATGCAAATAAAGCAACACACTGAATTGACCTTTACGGGTTGATTAGGTCACACAAAGTAAACAAAAAAATAGGAAAAACGAACGTACAATCCGGGACCCGTAGTTGTTGTCACTGTTGTCTACTTTTGGAGGACATTGTGAAACCCGGCAACTGACACGTATAGTTCATTCTTTTGATGCTCTGTCTATCGTTCAAGATTCACGGGAGATGGACAGACAAGTAAAGGAAACACTTAAAAGTCCTCAAATTCGATTTTGAATTTCTCCTTGTCTGCCACTTTTAATGTCTCTTCTTCCCACTTCTCGAAACAACTGGTGTCCGAAGGTCCTTTGTATTTTGGCTTGTACGGCGGACGAATTTGCATGTTATACATTTGCATCCAGTCCATATCTGAAAAATAAGCATGATCTTTGATATCGGCTATCCCGTTTTTCAAATTCCCATAACGTCGACTCAGATCCACTTGGATCAGATTGCGTATGAGATCTTTCAGTTCCGGGCCGAAATTGTTGGTAAATTTAATTTTCCCAGAAATAATATGTTCGAATGTTTTCATCTGATCCTGATGCATAAAGGGCGGAAAACCAGTAGTCATTTCATACAACAGTACACCGAATGCCCACCAGTCTACTGCACAATGATAACCTTTACTCATTATAATTTCTGGTGCCATGTAATCCGGTGTACCACACAAGGTCCACGTACGTTTATCTTTCGGGATCATTTTGGCAAAACCCAAATCGGCCACTTTGAGAAATCCCTCACCTGTGATTAGCAGATTTTCCGGTTTCAAATCCCGATAGGCGATAGTGAGCAGATGAAGATACTCGAATGCTAAAACCACCTGGGCGGCATAGAACTTGACCATATTGTCTGGAAATCGTCTCATATTACGCAATAAGGTAAACATTTCGCCTCCGATCACAAATTCCATGACCATATATAGATAACTGTTGTCTTTGAAACTGTAATGTAATCGAATGATGAACGGGAAATTGCAAGCAGCTAAAATTCGTTTCTCATTGATTGCGTTGTCAATTTGACGACTTTTCACAATTTCAACTTTTGATAGTACCTTCATTGCGTAATACGCGTCTTTATCCCAATGTCGGACAAGTAAAACGCGACCAAAAGCGCCTCGTCCCAAAGTTCGAATCCGTTCAAAATCCTCCATGGAAACGGGTTCTTTTGGTGGGTTGAAATACATATCCCGAAACTCTTTGACCTTCTCGTTGAGTATTTCATCGAATTCCGCTTGATTTGTTGGCATGTTGGAAAGTGTTCATTCAAAGCAGAAATAAGGAAAACATCAGTACAGACCTAGACAACTATCGAAATGTAAACATTATTATTGTGCATGCATCAGGCTTGAAACGTTTGGCCCATATGTTTAAGACAGGCACAAGCCAAAGGGATGAACTCTTGATCGATCGATTATTCCATTCAAAACCAAGTATCAGTGCGTGATCACGTGATGTCATCACTATTCTGGCAGACGGCTTTTGTCCACATTTATTTTGTAAATGGAAATTCAGGTGGACTAACAATGAGCGCTTTTGGAGATAATAGACGATTTAATCTTAGGAACTAAATTAAAGGTGCCATGTTATTTTGCATTCTCACTACTTTTCGCTGTACAGTACTTTCAAGTTTTGGGAAGATAAAGTTGATCACTGTGTTATTTTATTGTGGGTCATCAGGTAAATGCATTTGAAACTATATATAAGATATAGCGGATTTTGCCAGAATATAACAATTTTTTCGGTTTCCGAGGATGGTAAACTAATTTTCTGTCGTTCAGTAGAATAATAACTTCCCACAACTTGAGTGTAAGAAGGTATAATATACCCATCTACTTCTCAGGCTACAAAGTTAGGACCCATTAGTACGTTCTTCATACTGAGTAGAAAATAAACTTTGTGACTACTTAGGTTTATTACCATGATCACAGATAAGCGTTTGAATAAATAATGTATCTAAGCATTGTCCAACAGTCCTACTCCAAATCATGTTCGGCAACAATATGTCGGTCTATGTTAAACAAATCACATATCCCGATCGTTTATCATTTTCACACGACTCCCAAATGTAGTGATAAACGACCTCACATAATCTGCATCTCGTGAATGTTGAACACATAAATCTTTCGGATATTTGGAATTTGGAGGGTATAGATCAATGTTAATTACATTGTTCCGCATGGTTTACGAGGGCCACTTTCTTGGTCTTAAATTCCTACTTTATGGGTTGATATACACCTACAATTTTCTATTTCAGATTACCAATAAATAGAAATCTATGAAACTCGGTCTGTTAATCATGGCTGAGGATAAACCAAATATGGTAAACTTGCTTTTTAGATGAGCTTTTTGGGGATTATTTATCGGAACAGCTAGCTCACAAAACAGAGAAAAGGAAAACACGTCGACAGGGCATACACTTTCATGTCCGGTTCTTATTAGTTGTCTTCTCGGATCTTTCTCTTCTTTGTGATCCACAAGTCGTAACCGAAACATGAGAAGCAGATCAGAGAATGATTTTTCTTTATAGTTATGTGAAAGTTGTCTGATGTAAACTGTTCCATCACTTTAAGCACATGATTGCAGAACTACTGAAGTTATAAATCTGTGCCTGAAGCTAATACTCATTGAGAGCTGAATTGAAGCAAATTAGGATAGATGCCATATAAAATAAGGAAGAAACAAAAAATAGTATGAGGATTAAACCTGAAGCTCAAATTTATTTTTTGTGCATTGAACGCAAAATCTTGTCTAACTATGTGAGTGCGAAATACGTCAATGGGTCCGTCACTGATATATGTTATTTCTCAGCAGATCATAGAGCATTTTCTGCCTCCAAGCAGACAAGATGCACTGAAGCAGGTGGGAGTTCGATTGCTTGGACCTGCCTTAGCTTCAGAAGGCGTTTTTAAGCTAGATTATTTAAAATGAAGAAGAAAAGAGAGAAAATAGCAAACGTGATGGTCTGATAATTGATAAAACGACCATTCCGGTTTTCGATAAAATCTGATCATAGCACTGTCTCCATAGGGAAAAATCTAGACAAAAACTGACGTCGACTTCATATTTGTTCCGTGTCACTCTCCCATTATTTAGGTATTCACAAACCAGTATCGTCTCTCTCCCTCTCTACTACACCATTTGGTGATTCTACAACTGATTCGTTCTGGCTAAGGCTGAATGATAAATCGAAACAGTTATTTTTTCAAAACCAATGATTGGAAATGGATACGTGTAGTTTTCCTGTGTGTGATTACCTAAATCAATTCGGTGATTATCTTCGACTTCGCAAATTTATAGACGATAAACTTCAGCTTCATGTATCGGCCCTAATCACATAATTATCATATTGATAAAACTCACTTAGATGCTATTTTCCTGGACCACATAAAAAAATGGCCCAAAAACTCGAATACGTCACAGACGTGCTTTGGATCCTATGACTGGAGGTTTGAGTTCCACCACCGCCACCCAACTTTGGTGGTAGGCAGCTTTTGGTCGTCCGGTCCAAGACCACACCTAAATTATCGGGGCTTTATGTGATTTGTCAATCCAAGTACCTGGGATAATGTTAACGGTTTCCACCATTCAACAGCAGATCCTCATGACTAAGGGCGCTTTCTCCGTCTATTGTTCAGCACACGAAATTGTGTGGTATAAAACAAGTTTCCCGTTCCGATTGAAAGTTCATTTCAGTAAGAATTATTCTTTTATTACTTGGAACGTTCCACTGAGCAAACTGCAAACAACGCAACAAAGCGAACCAGCTCGTTTCTGTAGTTAGTTGTCACCCTTTTATTGCATATCATTGACTATGATTTAGCGTACCAATAGAACGAATGACAGAATGAAGTCCTCGCGAACTGAACTCTTTTTCTCAACGTATAGGCTTGCATTTGTGCGCGTGTGCACCAACACACAATCGAAGTAAGTTCCGAACCATTATAACACTAATTTACTTTTTCCCCGAATGGAATTATCAATAGGTTATCATGAATATTTAACGCACCTTGAAGAATCTTATGCAAGACTGCCGGTTGGGGCTGCACTGCTGACGAGTCCCCCCACCAGAACGAAACAACTTTCCAGTGCTCTTTGTCGTTCATCATAGAAATTTGTTTCAAATAAGCGTTTTCGATATGTACTTCAAGGAAATCCCAACAATTCTGGATGTGTGTGAACCCTTCGAATTGGTTAAACCAAACACGATATTCTATATATCAATTTGTCCTGTTGTCATAAGAATGCACCAGCGAGACAGAAAAATAGGGAGAACGTGCGGTAGATAGTAAACTTACTTGTACAGTTCACTCATTCTGACTCCAGTTTATGAAGATTTCTTATGTTATTATTCTTGGTTCTCTTATTTGCTTTGTNGGTGTTTCCGGTGGGTCAGTCGGTCTCAGATCGTGGCTGTCAAGCATAGAACAGCATTCTAGTCAAAAAGCTATCTATATACAGTATATCTCTGGCTTGCGGAAAAGCGTAGTGCCAACGCCACAACAATAATAAGAAAAGAGACACTGGGTGAATGAGATATAAATAAATATATAATATATATATATAATAAATATAAATAAATAAATAAAATAAATGTTGACTATGAATTACGAAAAGTGAGCTTGTTCTTCAAGTTGTGTTGCTCAATTAAATCGGTTTAGTATGAGTGAGACTTTTATTAGTACACTTTTGAAATATACTTTGAAAGTTGTGGTTGGATAATGATAATCATGTCTTACTGCGACATTGCGCAGTCGCGGCTTGCCACAAGTAGTGGATGCTCTTAAAAGCAAATCTTGAAATATTTGGTTGGATAGTTCTGTATCCGAAGATACAATGATGCTTCTCATTCAAATAACCGATAACCTAAGCCCCGGAACTTAGAGTGGCGAACCGCATAAGGCTCCGCTAGGTCAGGAGTGGTATTGAACCGTATGGCAGCAAAGCTGTCTACCACTAAAGTTGGGTGGCGGTAGCGGGGCTTGAACCGTTGAGTTCGAAGCACGCCGATGACCGGGGCCAAACCACTACGCCAACAGTACCACTGTCGGATGTGTGACGCTCTGGAGTAAATTTTCCGATTTTCAATCCGAGTGATCGGAGCTAAAGCTATTGATCGATTGATTGACAGATGCTGCAAGCTAGCTCACATGCGGACTGACTCGACTACACTATCAATGGTCGTCAGCTCACTGACTGATTCGTTGACTGCATTCGGACGTCGTGCGACGTTTGAGCCAGTTCTTGGCCTGCCTGTCTGCTTGCCCGCCTTTCCACGTGTTGCCCGCTTCTGGTTGCTAACCAGTCTATGTACCAGCTACATATATACCCTCTAGAAGAAACGTACTGTATAACTGACTGCGTGCTTATCTACCTACTTAAACAGGAACACAATGTACAGATAATGTTCAACTACTTACTATCAGAAACAATGCAATCAAAGTATAATACGCGAACTTTCGGGCGTGAAACTCCATCTTACATTTTGGTTTTACAACTATCTAACTTCTCTGGCTTTCTACTGAAATTGACGGTCAATGTGTGACCCGGATCCAGACTGTAATGTCCCTGAGTTTTCACGAAAGTTCATCTGGCATATGCAATACAACGCAATCTAAACTACTCCTGTTCGAGATTTAGCATGCCCATGCAACTTTATCATGGAATGTTGCGTCGCGCTCAAAAGGGAAACACTATTTTAATTTGAAAATATGCACACATGTTGTGGGGACGAAATCAGACCGAGTAATTTTAATCCATTTCTTGAAGAATTCCCTGGGTCACCAGATGACGAAGTGAGAGACAGAGAACAACATTGTCTGTCACGTGTTTGAGAAGCACAAAGAGCGGAGAGAGGGACAAGGTCACTTCTGGAAATGACTGATGACCTTTTGGCATGCTCGATGCATTACGCCATTGGAAATCGCCGCAATGGGCTTCATGTAATGACCTGGCTGGACACACTATGAGATGGGACACGGGGACCGGGATCATTGTACCCATTTCGAGTCTGAATAGCAGTGGGTCCAAGATTTTGATTGCGACTTGTTTGAATTGGTTAAGTCATTGGTTAAGTCATTGTGCATTTAAGCAATAACTCAGCATTGTGATAACAAAAGTATGTATTCTAGAAGCAAAACACTCTTCCTTGGCAGTCCTTGAATTACAGTCCACAGGACGAGAAACCCATCCTTTCCTGTCTTCTGATCATTGACTGAATGATTTAGTGTAAAATGCGAAATTGTCAAAA